CACTCCTTGCCCAAGGGCAGGTTGCAGACCCTAACCCACAATCTTTAGACAAAAATAAGGCTGTTTATTTGCCTGAGACACAAGGGCTTGAAGTGTCTTAAAATCGTCCCTCATCATATGCCATTCAGTTAACCTTCTCCCAAGTCTCACACCCCATCCCCAGAAAAAGGAAAGAGGAGGAGAAAGAGGAACAGAAGAAGCAGATAGCACTGTAATCTCCTTAAGGTAACAAAATATTATCTATTTCATAGTGAAAAGAGGCACTGAATGACACCAACTGTTGAGGCTTCTTGCATAATCAGGGCTGATTTTTATTGCTTCTGTGAAGGAAATTGATTAGAGAAAAAATGAAATCCTACTCCTCTCTATTTCAGCGTAAAATGTGCCCAGAATTTTAGGTTGATAAACAACTGAGATGTATTATTTTTTCAAGGCAAACATCTCTTAGGCTTCCTCCTGCAGAACCCTTGTAAAGTGAATCATTCTCTGAGTTTACTTGCTTCCTATGAGTGATTTAATTCTAAGTTGCAGAAGAGTATTAAATTGACTTTTTGAAAGTAAATTTTGTGTTTTATGTGTTTCGTGTTAAGGACTGGCTGCTAAAAAAAAAAAAAAAATCATTGATATTTGACTCATTAAAATTTCCAAAATGTGCATGTGCAAGATTTTGAAGGTATAGGTCAGGTCATTCAAGTGTAACTTAAGCCATATACCACAAACTTCTAAGAATTCCATTGAACAAAGATGACAACATTATTACAAATAAATAAATGAAGTCGAGAAAATTTACATTAATTATCTTAACTATACTTTGGATCTTGAGCCCCATACTTTATCCTTAGGGCAATTCTCTCTCTCTCTCTCTCTCTGTCTCTCTCTCTCTCTCTCTCCTTTTTCTCTCTCTCTAACAAAGAGCCAGAAAATCACTTGTCAGCTTGAGAAAACCCACCCAGAAAAATTCACCAACTTGCATTTCTCAACAATAGGAGAATTGGCATTGTTAAAGAATGTCAAGACCCCTCCTATTTTTAGGTGCATGTCTAGGCATTTTGAGGTTTGCTCATCCCCTGGGCAACCCAGAACATAATATTGTATTGTGTTAGGTCCTTTCATGGCTTTGGGTTTGCACTACACCAGCATAGCGCACCCTAGCACTGCTGATTTTCAATGACTCAACAGGTTCAGACTCATAGACAAGAATTTCAGAGCCATCGCCCAGGCCTGAATCAGCCAGGACTAAATCCAACTCATCACTTTGCAATGAGATTTGTTTATTCTTGTTCCAAACGTGATTCAAAGAAAAACAAAACCCAGGGAATCTGGGTACAATTTGTCAGCTTGCAAATAGCAATTATTTCAATGACACTATATAGAATAGACTTGGTTGGTCACCCTGCCATTACTAGAATTCTTTTGACTGCTTTTACTTGAAATGACCAAAAGAGTCAGAGACAAGTCATCAATATTATTTATTGTTCTTAAAGAAAAAAATGAATAATATACAAAGCCTTTCAGAAGAAAAAGATGGTACATCGGAATATTCATAATCCTTCCACTGTCCCCAGTTTTAGTTATTTAATTCCTATTCTGTTTATGGGTGCTTTTTGGAGCCCCGTTTGTGTTTATTGGCAGGAATTATCTCAGGGAACATCTGTTTCATATAAATTTCCATGGAATTTTTTGGACCTTGGTTGAAAAGGCACTAATCATATTATTGATAAATTACCACATATCATATCATTCAACTGCAACCCTATTCTGGGAGCAGTAAATCCTGAAACTCTGAAAGTGGTCCCATTGACAGATTGGGTTTTGGGGTCCCACCAGTAACTCTTTTCAATCTTTTTTTTCTTTTTGAGACAGGGTCTTGCTGTGTCACCCAGGCTGGAGTGCAGTTGTGCAATCACTGCTCACTGCAGTCTCAACCTCTCAGGCTCAAGCGATCTTCCCACCTTAGCCTCCTGAGTAGCTGGGATCACAGGCGCCATCATGCTCGGCTAACTTTTTAAATATTTTGTTAATATGGGGGTCTCTTTATGTTGCCCAGGCTAGTCTTAAACTCCTGGCCTCAAGCGATCCACTCACCTCGGCCCCCCAAAGTGCTTGGATTATAGGTATGAGCCACAGGGCCTGGCTACTCTTTCCAAATTCTAACATCTCTAGTGAATGTCATTTTTCTCATTGACTTTGAAGATGATCCTTCCCACCACTGATGGAGTAAAATCCCTAAGAAGGGCAGATGGGTGTGGGGGATGGGGGATGGTGAGGAGACAGACTCTTCCCCAACCATAACCGAAACTCTTACTACCTCTGACTATTTCACAGTACAACAAGGACACCATAAACAACGTACAATTTTCAAAGGGTGCTCCACCTTTGCTTTAAAGATAAATTTGAAAAGAATCTTTCCAACTTCTTGGAAATAATTAATATTAGGCAGAAAAGTCTGTTAGAAAGCACCACAGCTTGGAAATAGTGGAAAGTTTCTGTTTTTGTGTGATTTGAGCTGGTCAATGTTGTGGAGTAACTTGATAATTCTTCTTCCCAGCCTGTATTAAGATAAATATACCTTAGCTTCTTTCAAGAGGGCAAGGCCTGCCTCTGAGCTTAAATCAACTACCTCAGGACACTGGATGATGCTCTCACTGTTTATAGAGACAGTTAGAAACAAGTCTCGCAAGTTTTGGATAGAACTGACTGTTGTGGGTCAAGACCACAGCTACATAAATTGTTATTTAAAAACTATGACATCAATGTATTTCTGAGTGTTAGAGTGAGATATTTTTTACTATGACCTTTTGTGGGACAATGTATTTGCTAGCCATGAAAACTCTCACACAGCTTGTCCAAACACACGTTGCCTGTGACATGCAATCCATCTTCCTTCAACTGAGATAAATCATTTCTCAGAAGTCTATAAGAAGCTCCAAATGAGGCCAGGCACAGTGGCTCACACCTGCAATGCTAGCATTTTGGGGGGCCGAGGCGGGTGGATCAATTGAGGTCAGGAGTTGGAAACCAGCCTGGCCAACATGGTGAAACCCCCATCCCTACTAAAAGTACAAAAATTAGCTGGGCATGCTGGTGCACGCCTGTAATCCCAGCTACTCGGGAGGCTGAGGCAGGAGAATCGCCTGAACCAGGAAGGTGGAGGTTGCAGTGAGCAGAGATCACACCACTGCACTTCAGCTTGAGCGACAGAGCAAGACTCCGTCTCAAAAAACAAAAACCTCCACATGCCAATCATGAATAAAGAGATAAGCCATATCAAACTGAAGTTTGGTTGTTTCCATGAGCAGGTAGGTTACTAAAGTGAGCATCTTGGAGATCCCATACAACACATGGATCAACAGAGCCACTGATGAACACTCTGGTACCTGAGCATACAATATTTTGTTCTGCTTGTGATGGCAGGAGTTAACATTCGAGTCTACTGAAATTCAAATAGGGTTTCCCTTAGCAATTTATCCATGTCTGCCTTTGGGGATTTATCTATCTCAGTTAATGTCCCAGTCACAAATGGGTCCCTGCTCTAACTCTAACCAGACAATCTCTAACATGGATATGACTGGTTAGAGACATTAATACCCATGTTGGCTGGGTACAGGTCTGAATTCCTTTTCCTTACTCAGTATTACTCTAGTAAGCAACAGTGCATACTCTTGGTAAATAAATTGTTAATGAGTATAAGTAGATACTGTCTGAAGAATATTTACTCTCTTCTAAACAGAAAGGCATACATTTATACAGAGAGACATATGTTGATGACTACATTCTTAGGAGTGATACACTTTTTGTTCCTGTTCCTGGGTAAATGATATTTAATTTATTTTGGAGAAAAATTTCTATTATTGGTTTTCCAAACTTTCAAAATGCAGGACAGACACAAAGAGTGAGACAGACTGGTTGATTTTTGGAAGTAGTTTGATGTTTCTCTAATATTGGCCTTAACTTCCAATTGATGTTTAAGCTAATTTTCTTTTAAAAGAGAAGTTAGTTACTGCTTCTCTTAAAAAAGAAAAATAAAACTCCTAAGAAACCTATCAAAATATCAAAACACTTTATATAATTAATTACAAGTTAATAGTTAATTATAATTAAAATTGTAAATCTTAGATGTATTCAGTGATCCTCTGAGAAATGTAGGCTTGAATTTCACTTCTTTATTGGATTTCTCTCTATTCTACCAGGCTTAGTCTAATTATCAAAAGAAAAGTAATATAAACTATAACTGATTAAACATTATGGACAGAACGAAAACCCAAAATAACTTCTTTTTACCATGTAGCTCCTATGGAAAAATGCCTTCAAAATGCTGCAAGCACAATTTATTTAAATCATCCAACTTCCAGGTCTACTGCGTCCAACAGATGGACAGGACTTTTTGCCCTGTCCAGACAGACACCAAGTTTAAAAACATTTTTAAAAAGCCCAAGCACCTTTTTGATCTAACTTTAAAAAGCATTGTCAATGTCAAGAACACGGTGACTGTGGGTTGTTTATTATGCTAGGAGGAGTCTTCTATGTTGAATTGTTTGTGTGGTATGAAGCCACATTGTATGCCTGCTGTCCCTCTGGGACCCTCATGAAAAGGAGGTATTTATGTCCCTGCCTGTGCCCGTAAACGAATTGCCCCCTAAAGTAAATATAATATATAAAGCCAAGTCTGGTTCCAAAGTCATGCTATGTGCCTCCCTCTGGCTATAGAGGAAGTTACTCATGCTTATCAGAAAGCCGAATTTGGTGTGGCATTATTAGGTTGCAGGCAATATGGTAATGGGACCCAGAGAAGTGGTTTTAACCAACAGAGAATGTCTCTGAGCCAGCTGGCTGCCAAGGAAAGTGTATATTACCTTACCCTTGAGCTCAGAGAACTTATATAAATGTAAAGAGAAGTCAGATCCTTCGAGAATTGGCATCATATCACTAGTTCGTGCAGGGGAAGTGGTTAAATACATCAATGTGAAAATACATTTTCACTTCTATGGCATGGAAGTTGAAAAAACTAGAATTTATTTTAGTTTATTTTATTGCTCTAAATCAATCAGGAATTACTAAACTCCCATGAGGAAACCAAATATGCAGGAAGTCAGCCATGTGACATGATTGTGACCACATTACAAGCTAGACAATGAGATAGGACAATAGAGAAGGAAAGTCACGTTGAAATTATATGGCTTCATGGCTGAACAATGCCATTTATATTTCTGCCCGTGAGCCATCAGTTCTATCCAATTATTTTCTATTTCTCCAGGTTCTTCAGAATATTTGTGTCTGATGTCAGTTGTTAGTTCAATTGCATTGTTAGAGTTAAATTACATTGCTTTGAAGCCATGAATGTGTGGATTAAAATGCAGACTCTGCTGCTTGCTGGCTGTGTGGCTTTATACAGCCTTTCTGAGCCCAGCTTTTTTAATGAAAACATCATACAATCTATATTAAACAGTTCGATGGGCCAGGCACGGTGGCTCACGCCTATAATCCCAGCACTTTGGGAGGCCAAGGCCAGCAGATCATGAGGTCAAGAGATTGAGACCAGTCTGGCCAACATGGTGAAACCTCGTCTCTACTAAAAAGACAAAAATGAACAGCGCATGGTGGTGGGCACCTGTAGTCCCAGCTACTCAGGACGCTGAGGCAGGAGAATCGCTTGAAGGCGGGAGGCAGAGGTTGCAGTAAGCCGAGATTGCCCCACTGCACTCCAGCCTGGCGACAGAGCGAGACTCTGTCAAAAAAAAAAAAAAAAAAAGTTAGATGACACCTGAAACACAGAGTAGTTTCATGGAAAGTGAAGACTTGAAAGCAGATCATCATTCTAAGATATGTCATGAGAAAACAACTCATCAAACATACTTTTGCTAATTATTTTAAGAGAAAGGATTAAACCGGGGTATATTTTGTTAATTACTATCCTAAAACTTTTAGTGTTTACCATGTGTTGACATAATAGGAGACATAATTTTTCCCAAAGGCGTCAAACTTGTCCTTGATACTCAAGTGAAGATACTGGTCAGATGTTACTGATTTTGATTTTAAATTCAGAAATAGAAATATGCGAGTCACTGTGGCTAACGCCTACAATCTCAGCACTTTAGGAGTCAAGGCGGGAAGATCACTTGACCTGGAAGATTGAGGCTGAAGTGAGCCATGATTGCACCACTACACTCCAGCCAAAGCTAGAAAGAGACCACATCTCCAAAAAGAGAGAGAGAGAGAAAAAGAAATAATTTAAAGTTTCAGAAAGACTTCTGAATCTTAAAAAATTAAACATAAGTCTCTATGAAAACATAAGCAATAGTCTCATACTATTGTATGAGTAGTCTCTTCTTTTCTTTCTCTCCCAAGGATATCCTTCTCAGCCTAAAACACTTTTGTTGACAGTTAGCCCAATATCCACCACATTTTACATCTGCTAAGAATATTAACTTACATTTTCAGTTCAACCAACATTCCAATAATATACAAGGCAGAAGAATCAGAATTGATTCAGCCAGTTGAAACTTTGTATACTGAGGCATTTGCAGTAAATCTAGTAAAAATCTTTGGATTTTCCAGAAACTTAAAGCAGTCTATTTGTGCGTGTCTCCCTGTTTTGTTTGTTTGTTTGTTTGTTTGTTTTGTTGTTGGTTTGTAGGTGGGGTCTCACTCTGTTGCCCAGGCTGGAGGGCAGTGGTGCAATCAGAGCTCACAGAAGCCTCTGCCTCCCAGGCTCAGGTGATCCTCTCACCTCAGCCTCCTGAGTAGCTGGGACTACATGTTTCATTCACTGTATCATCTCAAAGCTTAAATAAGAGCCTGTGGAGCCCCAGATGAAGTTGGAGTAGGAAGAGTGGTGTCAAACTTTTGAAGAGTAAGTTTTAAACCGAGCATTCCAAGAAATAACTGGTGTTTCCTCTTCCTCTTGCCGGCTGGAGAAACTGAAGGACGGAGCACTTAAAATTTCCCAGCCCCATTCAGTGGAAAAGGAAACATACTGTGGAAAGAATTGCTAGCAATTGTAGTCAGTGTCCATCTCTATGGATTTGGTGTGGAAATTTACATTACAATAAGTGAAAAACAACTGACGGTACCCTCAATACAATGGGCATCAATTATTCTGCTTCCTTTGGTGATTTAAAAACAAATCTGGATCTGGATCTGGATATATGTGCTTTAGAAACCGCCATTTGTCAACTTGGTTGTTGCTATATGGCATTTGTAGAGCTTGACTTGGGCTTGTCTTTAAAAAAAAAAAAAAAAAAAAAAGCTTCTTAAAACTGTATGCCTTTATCAGAAGTCGCCCCTCGGCTATTTACAAGTGCCATGGTTACAGACCTGCTAGACTGATGATATTCACATGCAGGAAACAATGCAAGGAAAACAGGATTTGCACGGCTCCGACTGCACTGGCCCAAGAATTCCAGGAAGTGATTGTACTTTATGAAACCGTCTGTGCTCCGCTAGATTGTCTATAGCTTTTAAGGTCAAGTCCTATCACGGCGAGTTTGCAATGCCCTTTGTAACAAGGCAGAGTGTTTATGAAGCTGAGTACATGCTGTATTGTTTATCAGCCCAGGCAGTTGAAAGGTGCGATATTCCAATCTCGTGGTTCAGGATGGCACTGGGAATCGATCACAGGCTTTTCTGACATAGGCTTGGGATTAGTTCAAAGAGTCCCTGGCAACAGTGACCACGCAACAGTCCAGCACATGGAGAAAGTCACGAAGCCCACAGTCCGTGACAAGAGAGATGGGTTCATGTGGGAGATCAATGTGGGGAGCACTGTAAGTTTATGTTTTAAGATCCCTGTGCTTCCTGCTGTGGCTGAGAGTCTCCTTGGAGAGGGAAAGGTGCTGCAGTACAGTAACTGCTGATTTCGAGAGTACGGAAAGGAGAGTGAGACAACAATGGAATTTATTTCTTCGTAAGAGAATTGGGAGGCAGCCAGGCATTCCAGGGCCTTGCTCTCGAATTCTTTGATTTCTCTACAGTGCATAATGTCTAGAGACTCCTGTTGCCTCTGGACTCGGGGATACTGGAGCCGGACAGTGGACGCCCAAACTGCTCACGTTACTCCACAGCCTTGCCTAATCTCTTTGTAGGCGCCAGGCTGGACGTGACTGACCAGACCCCTGCTTGCTCCCTCTCTGTGAATGATGTTGGTCCCTGAAGCTAGGTTAAACAAGCAATAGTCTATAGCTATTGTTAAGGACGCTGTCGTGATGGAATCAGCTGGGTACTGGGCATCCTTTCCACTAGGAGTGATGGCTGCTAGCCAGGCATCTGTGAACTTTCTGGAGACATTTAGGTGTTGTGTACCAAAGTCATGGCACCTTAGGGGCAAGCATGATATCCCATGTTTTCAGTTGGATGGACTGAATGAAACTCAGTGAGTGACTGCTGATGTCCAATCAATCAATATCGATTTAATGAAGTCTGTTTATAAGGCAAGTGACTTGCCATTAGAGACTGTTTCTTCAAGGGAGACAAAATAAATGACAACAATGAAATACTTTTTATCTAGTTGCCACATTCTGTGTCCCATACTGGCTTTTGAATGTCTGGTTTTGCAATGTAGGGTTGTATTTTACTGACTGAATTTTATTTTATTTCTAAATTCTTAGGCATCTTGAGGTTCATCACTTAATAGGTACTCTGTGGACTAACATCACATAGCTATCATCAAGCCTTTTAATAAAAGTGTTATTTTTTTCCAGTAGACTCATAGATGACCATTGTTGGATGTCCTATGGGCATAACTACCTCAAAAAGGGTTGCGAATTACTGGCCAAAACACTTAAGTAAAGAAAAATTAAAAGTGTCACTCATCAGGTAAGAAGAGTCCTGAAACCTCTGTTTTGGTCTTGACTCTACCATTAACTCCTAGGAAATTTTACCACCCCCAATTACAGATATTGGGATAATCATTCCCTGCACCTTTGTTTTTCCTCGGCAAAAAGAGGTGCTTTAAATGTATAATTGATCTATAGGGGATTTCCCATCTATGAAGATTGAACTTGGCCTCTAAATCAGAAGACGCAGGGGTGTTTGGACCAGAGCAACTCCATCTTGAATAGGAGCTGGGTAAAATACAGCTGAGACTTGCTGGGCTACATTCTCAGTGAGCTAGGCATTCTAAGTCATAGGATGAGATAGGAGCTTACACAAAATACAGGTCATAAAGACACTGATGATAAAACAGGTTGCAGTAAAAAAGCCTGCCAAAACCCACACCATCAAGACAAGAGTGACTTCTGGTTGTCCTCACTGCTACGCTCCCACCAGCACCATGATAGTTTGCAAATGCCATGGCAATGTCAGGAAGTTACCCTATATGGTCTAAAAAGAGAAGGCATGATTAATCCACCCCTTGCTTAGCATATCATCAAGATATAACTATAAAAATGGACAACCAGTAGCTCTCAGAGCTGCTCTGCTTATGTACGCCATTCTTTTATTCCTTTACGTTTTTAATAAACTTGCTTTCACTTTGCTCTATGGACTCACCTCAAATTCTTTCTTGTGCAAGATCCAAGAACCTTCTCTTGTGGTCTGGATCAGGACCCCTTTCCAGTATTTAGAGAGGGAAAGTGAAAGCTTCCTAGGGGAAGTAGGAAAGTAGAAAAACAAATGAGAAAAAAAAAAAGGTATGAAAATTTGAGGAGAAATACCACCATAGGGAGAACAATAATTAATAATTATTTACCTTGTAAATATGAAGTATGATTTTAAATAATTTTTTCACATTTATTAAATCCTTAGAAAAATTCTAGGAATTTGATATTATGATTTTTAATGAACAAAATAAGGAGACTGAAGTTTGTAAAGTCCTTAAAAGACTTGCGAAAGATACATTTGATTAAGAGGTTGAGTCTACAACAAACCAAGCTCTTGGGCTCCAAAACTAGGGCCCCTAAAAGGATCCACCTGCGAGGGAGGAAGTGTCTAATTGGAAAGAGGATGAACTAAAAGCACATTCAGTCTTGGTTTTTCTAGCTATACATATAACGTTCAGTCTTCTCTATGTTTTAGGTAGCATAAATACAAAAGGTCATGGGCCCTGCGTAAGAATGTTTTCTGATTTTAAACGTGCTAATTTTATTTTTTTACCCTGGTAAGGCATGTATACTTGAGAGGGAAAGGAAATTATGGAGTTATTTATTTGAGGTATATCTAAGATTTTTTTAAAGTACATTAGAAATTATGAAAACTGTATTCTATGCCCTAATGCTCTCAACACATTATCAGATTATGTAAATAAATACCTGGACAAATTGCTTTATTTATTCAATGTTTATGCACCTAGAGTTAAGAAAAATGCTATATTTAGGCTTGGCATGGTGGTGCATGCCTGTACTCCCAGCTACTCAGGTGGCTGTGACAGGAGGATCGCTTGAGCCCAGAGATTCATGTCCAGCTTGAGCAACACAGCAAGACCCCATCTCTCTCACTTAAAAAAAAAAAAAAAAAAAAAAAAAAAAAAGCTGTATTTAAAAATTATAGGAAGCAACGAAGACAGTTATCAGAGAAAAAAATATTGTTTATAATTCTTACATTAGAAAAGAGGAAAGTCTTAAAATTGAGTGAACTAAATACCCAACCTAAAAAAATTTGACAAAGAAGAGCACAATAAACCTAAAGAAAGGAACAAAAAAAGATAATAGAAATAAGTACAAAAACAAATGAAACAGAAAGTAAAATTTCAAAAAGCTAAAAGTTGTTCCTTAAAAAGATAAATGTTTGGTGATATTTACCCCCCAAAAAGGAAAGAATATGAAAAAAAATAGCATTAGGCATAAAGGAGAAGATTCTTATTCTTTCCATAGACATTAAAAAGGAATAAAAAAGAATATTATGAACAACCTCAGGCCAACAAGTTGTGAACAGATGAAATATATGTATTTGTAGAAAATATTACATAAAAATAACTTAAGAGGAACTAGAAATCCCTTGTATAGTAAAATCTAATTCAATCTGTAGTTTAAAATCTTGTCACACAGGAAATACCATGCCAGAAGAGTTTACTCATGCTACCAAACATTTCTTACATAAATTCTAGAACAGAAAAAAAGCAACACTTCCCAGCATATTTTATGAGAGTTGCATAACCTTGGTATAAATGCTAGCCAAGGACAAAACAAAATAGGAAAACTACAGATCAGGATTATTGTAATTCACTACTTTAACAAGTTAAAAGAGATTAAACCATATAATTACATCCATAGTTGCAAAAAAGATGTTCAGTAAAATCAATAAACATTAATGATAGTACTTTCATAAAAGTAGAAAGAGAATGAGTAAAAAGACTTAGGAAGGAAATGTCTTTAACTTCATAAAGAAGACCTACAAAACTCTAGGGCAAATATGATATATAATAGTAAAAGTTTCAAGTATTCTGTTTAAGATCATGAACAGGACAAGGATGACCAGTCTTACAACTTCTTTTTCACACTACAGTTGAAGTCTCAACTATCAAGACAAAACAAGAAAAAGAGAAGTTCTAAGAATTACAAGGAAAGAAATCAACTTTTTCTTCTTCTTCTTCTTCTTCTTCTTCTTCTTCTTCTTCTTCTTCTTCTTCTTCTTCTTCTTCTTCTTCTTCTTCTTCTTGTTATTATTATTATTATTATTATTATTAGAGACAAGATCTCACTCTGTGGCCCAGGCTGGAGTGGAGTGGTGCCATCGTAGCTTACTGCAGCCTTGCTCCTGAGTTCAAGTGATTCTCCCACCTCAGCCTCCCAAGTAGCTGGGACCACAGGCATATGCCACCACGCGTGGCTACTGTTTCTTTATTTTTGTAAGAACGGGGATCTCCATATATTACCCAGGATGGTCTCAAACTCCTGGACTCAAGCAATCCTTCCACCTCAGCCTCCCAGAGTGCTGGGATTACAAGCATGAGCCATCACATCCAGCTCAACCTCTCATTATTAACAGGTGACATTGTTTAAATAGATAAATATCAGCAAATAAATTATTTAAATTAAGAAAAATTGACAAATTAATGAATAAACAAAAGCAATTTTATATATATCAAAAAATCAGATAGAAAATGTAATTTAAAATATCTTTTACAAAAGTAATAAATTATATAAAATACATAAACACATAGGAATAAATCTAAGAAAAGGCATGTAAGACACCTATAGAGAAGGAGAGAGCTTTTTGAAGTTCAGTAAATTACTCAATTATGGAAAAATATACCATGTTCTTGGATAAAACGATTCATATCATAAAGTTGTCCATTCTTTTCTAACGGACATAAACGCAAGTGTAATTATGGTAACAACTCCAACAGGTTTTTTCATGGAACATGGCAAGTTGATTTTGAAATTTCTGTAAAGGATAAAGGGTAATGGATGGCCAACATGCTCCTAAGGAAGAAAAACAAGGAATTTGTCCCATTACACATTGAAACATTGTAAAACTATAGTTGTTAACTTATTAACAATGTGATATTGCACATTAATAAAGAAATAGGCCAAAGCAACAGAATGGGACATTTAGAGACAAATTCACAGATATATGAAAATTTGATTTATGGAGGGGGTAGTATTTGAGATCAATGAGAAAAAGATAAACTATTCAACAAATGCACCATACACAAACATCAAATTCAAAGAGGATTAAGGC